GGGCTCAAACCGGAGTGTTGCTAACACCGGCCCTAGCAAGAGCAGTGCTTCGCAGAATCTACCACCGGATCGGAAACACGACTCACTGAGAAGATCCGGCGAAGAACTCAGTGGGCTATGTCTATGGGTTAATTCGCTCGTAGGGCCCTTCGTCGCAAGCGACGGGTTTGACCGCCGGTCCCCAGACCGACATGTGAGGGGGACCCGAAACTCTTAGAGGGCCAGGGCTTGGGCGAGATCCGTCTCCCTGGCCCCCGCTAGACGGCGGCGGGATTGTGCGTCTTTCACGCGCCCTGCCGCCTTCTTCTGCGAGATGGTGCACTCGCAGAAGTCGATCATGGCCTTCCACGACTCGTCGTCGCCGAGTATCGATGCTAGAACACTCGGCAACGACAAGCAGTTTCCTATTTTTGCGACGAGGACACGGCGCCACCCCTCCCATGCGGGGCAGGCAACGAGCGTATGCTCTGCCGTGTCCAAGTCGCACTCTGCCGTCGGCTCGGCTGTGATCCGGTGCAGGAACTCACCGAAATAACCATGCCCAGTGACCATTGCCAACCTGCGTGAGCCGGAAAGTGAGGGGTCCTCTGTCACGATTCACCCAATCCACAAGGACCGGGCGAATCGCCTCGACAGTCTTACTACCAGCCGAAGGATCAGCCAGTCGTCTGGACCATGATTCCAGCACGGACCGCCGAGATTGGGTCCTCCGCGCTCTGACCACACTGGGGCTGGGACGCGCCACGCCCCGGGCACGAAGGTCAGCCCGTCACTGATAGTCAGCGGCGAACGCCTCCGCTTCCAGAACCCAAGGCAGCGTCCTAGCTAGTACACACGCCGCCTCAAAGGAGATGGTGCGATAACCACGGAGCCTTTTGTAGGTACCAACTTTAATTGTATTAAACGAATTGTGAGACACAATAATAAAAAGATTAATCAAACAAAACACCAATTAGGTTAGTTTCATTAAATAAAAATTATACTAAATATGTGGACGTCATTAGAAGTAACTCATAAACTATATTATGTCGATGTCATTAAAATAACTAATAATAAAAATGTCGATAAAAAAAAATACTTATTCTAACTACTGACAGTAGTTTTTGTATTGCTGAATATGGATCGTAATACTCCTGACTTATGATAAATCTTTACCTGAACCCATTCACATCCCAGGTGAGATACCCACAAGCAGACAGGTGGCGGCATTTACATTGTAGATGTCTATGGGCTCCGGTAACCACTTAGCATCAGGTGGTGAAGGTGGAGGTGGTCAGGTGGTGGTTTGAAGTCGTCGTGGCCTAACAGATAGGGCGTCCGGTGCATTCGTGTTGAGCGATGCACCGGTGTTCGAATCTCACGCGGGTACCATTTTTTCTAATGAAATACGTGCTCACCAAATGTCCACGATTGATTTCCACGGTGAAGGAATAACATCGTGTAATAAAAATCAAACCCGCAAAATTATAATTTGCGTAATTACTGGTGGTAGGACCTCTTGTGAGTCCGCGCGGGTGGGTACCACCACCCTGCCTATTTCTGCCGTGAAGCAGTAATGCGTTTCGGTTTGAAGGGTGGGGCAGCCGTTGTAACTATACTTGAGACCTTAAAACTAATACCTTTCGGTAGGCAGCGGCTTGGCTCTGCCTCTGGCATTGTTGAAGTCCATGGGCGACGGTAACCACTCACCATCACATGGGCCGTGATGGTGAGTGGTTGCCTACAAGGGTAATAAAATAAAAAAAATCTATGGGCTTCAGTAACCACTTAACACCAGGTGGGCTGTGAGCCCGTCCACCAATCTAAGCAAAAAAAGGGTGCGTGTACTTATGTACGCGCGTAAGAAGTTATACTTTATTTTTATAAAATTTATTTATTTATTTTTTATTTAAATTTTAGTCAATTTGAAAAAAAACGATTAAACAACATCCTCAAACACGCATATTGGACATCCCTTTTCTTGACATCGTATAAATTCGGTAATTCTCGGTACGGTTCGGAAAGTTCACCTGCGGCTATATTCAGACTCGCCAAGCTACGTCGGTCGTATTGTAATGAGCGATTTAGTGGGCAACTTCATTCTGTTAACTTTGTGACACGGTGCGCGCGCATCGTAAAATTTCACTCTCATCAATCTTTCATAACGCGCCTAGTGAAGTATAACTTCAAAAAAAGGTAGGTTATTTAATTTCCATCATTTTCTATTGTTTTATGATTAAACTGTGAAATAACGTTATCGGAATAGCGTGATAAAACACAGAAATTTTACTATTTAACTACTATCATTAAAATATTATCGCACGCGGTCTGTAAGTACTGATTGTCCTTGCCCGAAGCAAAAGTGAACGCCTGTCCTTAGACGAAGTACAGTCGTAAGCAGAAGTGATTTGAATTTTATCCTAATATATATGTATATCTATACTTCTATGCCAATATTATAAGGAGGATAGATTTGTTTGTTTCTTTGTGTTGAATAGGCTCCGAAACTACTGAACCGATTTGAAAAATTCTTTCACTGTTTGGCAGCTACACTATTCCCGAGTGACAGAGGCTATATAATCTTTTTTGAAAATAATTAGAGATCTTACTAAAACTCCAATAATGTAACACAAGGTGTAAAAAAATTACCTAAAATATTATTTACTCGGCGGCCGGATCACGGCGTTCGGAAGGGTAGGAAATATTTAGTTTCTTTCATTTCAGTTATTAACTTCAGATAGCTTCAACGAAGGATTTTTCGGAGCTGTTCTCGGAAACCAAAAGCTGGAGATCATCATGAGATGATGTTTGCATTAAAAATTTGATCGAAAGCTCTAAACGCTAATACGCTTTTAAAACTATATTCATTATTAGGTGTTATATAATAAACTAGCCGTACTCGCATTTAAAATTAACATTATTATTTATTGTCATTATTATTAGAGAGTCCAACACTCATATAAATATTAGCCTATCCATTAGGTACATGTATTTTCTACATGTATACCAAATTTCAAGTCAATCGGATGCATGGTTTAGTAGTTATAACGGAATATCCGTAAAAACCACTGTAGATTTATATATTAGTATAGATATATATATCTGCACCATCTCGCAGTATAGCCCCATTGAGCTAAGTTGGTAGCTTCAAGTGTAAGAGCGGCAAGCTTATTAATTAAGCTTATTAATTATAATAGCATTGATCTCGACTATCCATCTAAGCAATAAGGACGGTGACTGGTGCTTGTAGTACCTAAAAGCACCGTTAATGGATCGGGAGGATCTGTAATGACGTGTAACCACCATGATCATGATCACCTATACGTAATTGCCTCTGCCTTCGATCTCAACAAAAACGGCTCTTAGCTTATCTTAAGAGAAGCCCACTCCGTTCACGAATTCTTCGAAGAATGAGCTTCTTATGTACTTATTTGTACATTGTTTTACGATAATTTACAAATAGCGCACCAATTATCCTTCATAAACGACAAAGCCTTTTACAAAACCTTGTTTGAACGTTCTAAAAACATTTCGATTGAAAAGATACGGTTCGCAAATGCATTTTGATCACAAACACATTTTCCTGGTATAAAATGGAAACCTTTTGTTGCCATTTTTCTACTCTCGTCCCTTCTCTTGCGTGCTGAACGTATTCTGAGTCCGCGCGACTTTGTAAATCGAGATTGGAGGTTTAGACCTTAGATTTTAGACTTTAGACCTTAGTTACACGATCGGAGTCAATGTCGAAATTCAGGATTTTGATTATGAGCGTCTGGACGTACTTAACAATTGTTCACGATTGACTTCCAGTGATTGAAGAGGAAGGTTTATATGTATAATAACATCCATGAAATAGTGGAGAAATCAATAATAAATTACAGTTTCCTAAGCGAAGTAAGGGCGGGTCGCTAGTATTCGTATAAATAAATGCCTCGATTTTTTTACATACATTTTTTTACATTAATCACGTTTTTATAATTTACAACCAAGGAACGAATAGTTGTTTTTTTTTTGTGGGTTAAGTTGCCATTTATCTAAGTTTTTTTTTGGTTTGTCACATTTATCACATTTAATTTTGTTGTTTTGCGGAAAACCCGAGAATGATTGAAATTTTTTTGGTGGATTAATATTTTGTCAGTCCGATTATTAGTTTTTGTCTTTTTAAGACTTTAGGAGGACGAGGTCACGGCCTAAAGCCTCAACGCGAGTGCCAACGTGAGATATCAGATTCAAATGCCAATTATTGAAAGTTATTTCACGGTAGAAATGGGTAGGAAGATAGGGTAGCTGTGAGAGACAAAATATGCCTATTAATTGAGTTGTAGTTAAATTTCGAATTTACTACCTCAAGTGATAAAGTAGCAGACAGCGCTGATTTATGTACGTTTCTCAAACCACCTCCGTCATAATTCCGTTTTCATTACATTGAGTGCTAAGCCCCACAATGAAATTCAATTTATCGATCAACATTTTAAAAATTCAAGAATTACTTAATTAATCATTGCTTTTAATTATTTATACAATAGGTTTCCACAAAGATTTGCTTTAAAAAGCTTCACAGCCAAATTATCAATTATTACTTGTCGAAATTTGAATTGTTTAAAATTATTTGAAAACCAACGCGGCTTGGATATTACTTTAGGTTTAGGCATTTAAAGTTCAAGGAATTCAATATAGTATTTAAAAAAAAACATTTTAATAATACGAAATGCGTGGCGGAGTCGATTTTTAAAATCATGTTTGTTATTGTAGGTCAGTGCGTGACATATATCCGGTAGGAAATAGGAAGCGGACCGAACATAAATCAGGTTTTCCACCTTCTGTCAAGGTCACGTCCGCTTGTCAAAGAAATTGTACTCACAGAACTCAAATTCACACTCACAATTCGTACACAAATCTCGATTGAAACATAAAAAAAATATTTTAAATTTCGCGCCAATTTTACGAAAACATGACAGACAGAAAAAAAAACAAAAAACAAAAATTGAATTGACGTTCGTTCGATTTTCAAAAACACTTACTAGGCGCGAAGTTTGACGTTAGACGTGTCTGATGTTATAGCGCGAAACGAAAAAAATAAATATTTGTTACGAATAAAACGGAATGGCCGTTGACTCTATGGCCTGTCTTATGGCTGACTGAGTGTTGTGTCGAGCAACAGATGATATTTGTATGGTTGAAAGGTGGGCTCGCACTGCGCTTGTGTGAAAACCGGGAAATCGATACTACGTCATGCTTTGTCGTCATGGCTGTAATTATAAAGAAAGATATTCACGGACGAACTTGTTGGCGTTTTGTTATACGCTATACGGACAACTCATAAACAATGTTTTGTCTTATTTTTACTGAGATATCGCTATTTCATCTATACAAATAAATAAAATTGAAGTGTCTGTTTGTAATATTAAAATAGCCGCTCTTTACTACATGCATATAAATGTATATACTGTACATATACCAAAATAATGTTTTTTAAAACTTTTGTGTGTCTGTCTGCTTGTTTCCACTAATCTTTGGAATGGCTGGAACGATTATGACGGAACTTTCACTGGCAGACAGCTGATGTAATAAAGAAGTAGGCTACTTCTATGTTAGAAAAATTCTAAAATTATTATAAAATACAGATAATATGTTTTGTTAAATACCACGTGGACGACGTTGCGGGCACAGCTAGTCTAGAATAAAAATTAAACATGAAAAGGAGAGATCAAGTACTTCTTCGCAATAACCATGTATGCTATGAGTTGTAAATCTGTTTTTATGTAAAACTCAATTTAAACGAAGTTTACAAGTGGAAAGGTAAATTGTCTCTTAATTACTTCCTGACTAGGGCGAGGTTTTCTAAGCTGCAGCAGAGGCTCAGGCAAATCGCAACCGTCACTCGCCATGCTAAGATTCCACTAGCTGTTTATAAACACCTCTTTTTCGGAATTCAGAAAGAAAAAGAACGAATTGGATACCCTCTCTTGTTTGCGTCCGTCGCAATCGGCTGGACTAAGCTTCCGAAAAAGGCTGGTATGGCGGTAAGGTTAAGCTCAAGAATGGGCTTTACGAAATCGAAATATTTTGGCTTTGAATCATGCGTATCAGCGAAAGCTAGTGTTTTTTAGATTCCGTAACACAATACGCATTTAATGAGTATTTAAAAAAAGAGAATCAATTTTCTCCCAACATCAGACTCAGAGCATATCTTCATACAAATCGGGCTATGAATGCTCGGTTTTATAATCTGATCATAAGGCTCTTAAGCGTATCTTGGTTCAAGCTAATTTCGATTTTACGCTGTTGTTATATGGTTCGCTATTTTAAGAACACAATTTAGATTTATTTTTAAACTTTATCATTCATTTCCGAGTCCTGTTATTCAAATTGACGCCGATTTTTGTTGAATTTTTGGAAATATTTATAATTAAGATTTAACAGAAGGAAAAGGTTTTTTTTAGGGGTTTTTCTGTACTCTGACGTTGTTAGATGTATTTTTAATATAGGAAAAAGAAACCAGATTGAATTAATAATCAGAAATGTTTTTATACGATTGTTACTTACTGTATTTACATAATTATTGATTATATTATTATTATATTATATAATATATATGCGCACAATAAATCTTGCCTTCAGTAGTTTCAGTATAATAGTCAGAGGCCAATGTCGTACCACACATTTTAAAAAAGAAATACAAAAAAACCTTATTAGACTTACAACTCATGTCTCAAGGTGGGCGACGGCATTTCCCTTGCTGATGTCCATGGGCTACGGCAAGCGTTTAACACGAAATGCGACATTAACTCGTTCACTTATCTATCTAAGCAAAACAATTCCACGATCAGTGCCTGACATAGTTATTGCCATGACAAAGGTGTTCGCTAAGACACACCACGGTGGTCATAAAGCTGTCAGCAAAAAGGGAATAAGCCCGGATGACGTGCAACGCTAAAACAATTGTAACAGGTTTGTTTTGTCAACGTTACAAAATGTTAATTATAAAAACATTTTTAAGTCGCCGTACCGAGTAATGCGACTGCAGTATTTTTTTGTTAACTACTAAAACGGTTGTTAAGTTAATTTAAAATGATTTTTTATGACTTATATCCTAACTGGAGGAGGGTTGTTAAGGATATAAAACAATGGTAGATGTTACAGGAGGTCTATGCCAATAGGCACACTGAACTCATATATTGTGTAATATACAAAAAAAATCAAGTCAACAATCTTAAAAGTTTAGTTAAAAGGGCTGATTGATTGATTAAATGAATATAAATATATTTTTACGTACAATGAATATCTGGTAGAATTTATTATATGGCGTTTAGTGAGTCCGCACAGGTATATTATAATATTATTTGACGTTTTTTTTTTTATTTATTGCTTATATGTGTAGCACATAAGCACATATAAGTGGTTACTGGCGCCCTTAGAAATCTACAACGTAAATGCGCCACCCACCTTGAGATATAAGTTCTAAGGTCTCAGTATAGTTACAACGGCTGTTCTACCCTTCAAAACGAAACGCATTACTATTCACGGCGGAAATAAGCAGAGCGGTGAGTGGTACCTACCCCCGTGGACACACAACTGGTTCTACTACCAGTAGACGGCTTATTAATTAATTTAAGTCATCTATCTAAGCTCAATAAAAAGAAATGAGGTTTGTTTTTGTCTAATGTATGTATGTAATATAATGTTTTTTAGAAATTTTTACCAAATACTCTCAGATTGAGCCCCGTGAGCTTACCTACCCGTCCGGGCGTAGCTGGAATGGCCTCTTGGGCTACCAGCAAATAGGTAGTGAAACAAAGTAACGAAAATAAAAAAAAATCACGTGTGACACTCGGGGACTGCCGCGGTAACGCTATTGCATAGCATTTTTCATCAACTTATGCAATTATAATTAAATAATGGTAATTTAATATTAAAACAATTCTAAAATCAGACCACGCTGTATTTATAAACATTAACTGTCCCGTTCACACTCATAAGCTAGACCGTGCGAGAGAGAGAGACGGGCAGACTTTTCATGATGCGCATGCAGAGCGACGTCACGCCGCGCGCTTATTCACAAACACTACACAAGGGCAACGTGTGATTGAACGTGAGCTACATGGTAGGCGGAGTTGGGGTGCTACGTTTATTTTCGTTACGGAATTTCTTGATTCGGTCGTCGCTCAAAGCCCGCGATAACAAATATATAAAAAAAAAGAACTGCGACTCGTACATTTACGTTGTTGAGGTCTATGGGCTCCAGTAACTATTTAATACAAGTTGGCGGAGAGATCTAGCGGCTAAGCAAAAAAATATATACAATTTTTTTTTATAACGTTGCCTTTTTGTTCGGAATTCTCATTTAAGCTACGGGTTTTTAGTTTGCAGTTGTACTTAACAAACGGCGCGGGGGATTTTCACAATCATATTCACGAATGTTTCCTTACCTTAAGTGAGGAATTAAGCCGCGTGACTAATAAACGCTCAAAGATTGCTGATACCCATGAGCTACGGTGATCACTTAGCGTCAGGTGGTCCAATCATTTACCGACAAAGGAACAAGAAGTTCCCGGATGAGTGGGCGTGTTCATTGATACTTACAGTGCTCAAAATAAAGCGCATTTTGTAATTTTAATGAATTAAAATGTGGTTGTTAGCATTTAAATAGAATTAAAGGGATAAAAAAAATACGTGTTATAATTGTATCGCAATAAACATAATATTATTATAGTACATACGAGTATGTCAATAATTTAAATGCAAAAAAGTCCCTTAAATAACTAAAATGCTACTGTAATGTTGGAGGATATAGATATTCTATAAATAAATAATAGTTTAAAAAAACTAACAAAATACGTTTTTATAGAAAATTCAACTAAAAAATAGAAAATAAATTTTTAGTTTTTTTTAAACTATTATTTATTTTTCATTTTTTAGTTGAATTTCAATTTTATCAATGTTTCTTTAATATTGTATTGTCATCGGTCCTTATTAAGTATACCAAATTTCGAGTTAATCCGACATTTTGAAGGGGGTCAAAATCATGTTCAAAGATTCCGTTACATACATACGTCTGAAGCTAATAAAAGCGTATTAAAAATGGAGCATTTTAATATCTTTTTTAAGAGAAATCTCACTTAGAGTTAGAAGAAGGGATTGGAAGATTTATAGCAGACGTTTAGCAGGGTAGTTTGATCATTGTTTTTTCTGAATACCTTCTTAAACAATGGTCTCAATATGTTGGACTCATAACAGCTACAAACAATTTTAACATTGAGGAAACAGTTAAATATAACCAATCTTATCTATATATTAATACGTGAAGCAAAAACTTTGTATCCCTTTTTGCGAAATTGCGCGGACGGAGGAGTATGAAATTTCCCACACTTACAGAGAATATAGAGAAGGAGCGCACAATGCTAATATTTTTTTAAAACAATGCATAAAAGATACATTAAATCAATAAAGAAAACATTACAAATTTTCTTATTGCATAAAGTCTATGGTCAAATTGAGAATAGATTAAATATTGTTTGTCTTTGTTAATATTTGTCTAAAGCGTAGTCTTGGCGAAATCTGTGATTATAGAAGTACAATAAATAGTCTTTGACAATAGAACCGTAATAATTTTCAAACTTATAATTTCAATTAATTATAGTCGAATTTCGACTACTGGGGTACCACTACTTTAACTAAATAGCTAATATTATATATTTTATGTGTCGGCGCGCGCCAAGGATGGCTAAGCGGTAGTTTCCGTCATCACTCGTATTTGGTTGAACTCAGTTTATAAAAAGTCAATAAAACCTTTTGAATAATAATTATTGAAACTCAACACACACAACTTTCACAATGACAGGGTAAACCGACAGTTTCGTTCCACATACCGACAGACAGACCGACTGACTGACTGCCAGAGACTCACTGACTGAGACGGACGGACCGTCCGATACGGACTGAATGACTGTCTGACACGGAACGCCACGACTCTGTCCACGTACCGCCATTTTATACTGTGGCGTTACGGAGTCTACCCTACATTTTGTGATATTTATCAAAACAACATTTCATCATTTAAAATAATAGTCAAAACAACTTCTTAATATTACTAAAAGTCGTTAACCACGACATATGTTTATTGCGTAAGATATTATTAGGTTTTCTGCCGCTC